GAGCCTTCAAATCTTCGTGTGTCCAGAATTATCTGCGTTTAAAAGTTAAAAAGACGACTCGTCTTTTCTTGAGACTATGCCTTTGATAGAAAAGACATAAAAACGAACGACATTTAGAAGTGGAGAGTAGATATAACAAAAAACGCAAGGGGTATATTATGGTATAACTCACTTCTTTAATAACAAAGCACATAACGTTTCAACACAGTTATGTGCTTTGTTATTAAAGAAGTGAGTTATACCATAATATACCCCTTGTGTTTTTTGTTATATCTACTCTCCACTTCTAAATGTCGTTCAAATCTTATCTTAGAAAAGACATATACAGAAATAGAACACTAAATTTCTTAGTTTGAGATATTTTTGAAGAAATTATACGATTTGATTTTCGCACATTTCTAGTACTTCCGGAGACAATTAAAGACCCATATCAACCCCAAAAACGGGGAACCCTTAAAAAATAACCCTGCGTGATAGGTAAGATAGATAAGGTCTATATACAGCTATAATTTTATTTCTATAGAGAATTTTATGGCATGAGCTCTATTAGAAATAAGATTCTTTATTTTCATATATCAACAGTGGTTATAGAATTTCTCAATCCGGTTCCTCCAAAATTGTTAGTTATATTTTAAACCTTTGTAGAATATTTGATTATTTATTAAGACTTTGAAATTGTGGATAAATTAGGTCTGTTTGTTATTAAATAGTCTACTTACTACTGGCATTTGATTTGATGCACTATAATATATATTTAAATTGCCATCAGAAATGCTTAATACAGTATATACACAGAGAAAGTACAAACTCCAATTTTTTTTTTGGCGTTGAGTAATAAATTCTGTTTTATCAATGTTATGGTTGTTTGGTTGAGTTATTAATGAACTTGAACTTCACAAAAAATACATTCACAAAGAAAATTGAAGTAGGTCTATTTTTACTATAAAAATAATTTGTGTTTGAAATACACTGAAACTTGACTAACATTGTTTTTTCACTCCTCATTATTTTCAATATGTTAAGTAGTTTTACAGACGACCAATTTTTTTACGGCAGATTTTATTGTTTGGGTTCTGTATGTAGGCCATATTTCATAACAATTTTAGCGCGATGTTTAGAATCAGTTTTATTAATAATATTTTTATTAATAATGTCCATTATGATATGACAGGGCACTAACTTGAGGCAATGACAGGGCACTAACTTGAGGTAATGACAGGCAATGACAGGGCACTAACTTGAGGCAATGACAGTGCACTAACTTGAGGCAAAGACAGGGCACTAACTTGAGGCAAAAATTCTGTTGCCTTTCATTACAAGACTTTTGGTAGACACCTTTACCGTAGACGTCAAATAAGCGATGTATTTAGTATTATTTTATTTTTCGTCAAAATCGGCATTTGCCTCATTTGCCTTGATGAAGTTACGGCCCTGTGTCAGCAAATGATAATGCATGGTATTATCCTGATGGTGATCGTGGATATTATGAGATGTTATTAGAATATCTAAAGCCTGCGTCCAAGATTTACCGTGATACGACTTGTCTGGAGATTACTCACGAAAATGATAAACTGGATTAAATCAACGACACAAGTGTTATTGAATCCACCCCATCTGTGATATACATATACAGCATATTTATGCCGATTCACTGATTACTCAAGTCTTGAATAAATTCTGCACTTACACATGGAGCTTCTAAAGTTTTTTTTTTCTTATTTCAGCAATCTCGCACCTGTTGAGAGTGCCAATGACCTTCATACTTACTCATTCAAGTAGTCTCGAACAGCAGATTGGATTTATGTTGCAAACATACGCAATATACACAAATTGCACTTATTAAAGGGATTGTAAAGATATTTTCTAAAACAAATATGTGTATCGGGTGCAACCTTCGGATTTTCAATCGGACGTCTCTGGTTTCTGCAACTCCATTAAAACTTAACATTTAATGACGTCACTAATCGCCAGGTCTTAATGGGATAAAGTATATTTTGCGATTAGTGTCGTCATCAAGCACTTAGTTTTAGTGGAATTGCAGGAACAACAGACGTCTGGTTGAAAATTGGAAAGGTGCAAATTGATACTATCAGTGTTCCCGATACACATACAATTTTTTAGTAAACCTCTTTACATTCCCTTTAATCTTTGGAATCAGATATTATAGTGTTTTCGTTGCATTCGTTCCAGAATAAATTGTAAAAATATTAGAAAATGTCTATTTTTGTTTACTGTGTGTTATCATAAGTTTTCATATTCATGTACCATTAATTACCAACAAGGCAGATCATAATTTTATAGTATGCTGTATACAGGGAAATCAAATTAGAATAGGACGATGGACTTAATTAATATCTAATGTAACATGAAAAAAAACCTTTTAGCTTGTAAACTTCAAAATACCATCTGGACACAAAAATAACAATACGTTCAATCCCAAATCACTTTCTAAATAGAAAAGTCACTTTATTGTCATCTAGATTCATCTACAATCACAGTCAGTAAAGATATATCACTTTACCATCATATAGATTCATCTACAATCACAGTCAGTAAAGATAAGTTACTTTACCATCATCTAGATTCATCTACAATCACAGTCAGTAAAGATATGTCACGTAACTATCATCTAGATTCATCTACAATCACAGTCAGTAAAGATAAGTTACTTTACTATCATTTAGATTCATCTACAATCACAGTCAGTAAAGATAAGTTACTTTACTATCATTTAGATTCATCTACAATCACAGTCAGTAAAGATAAGTTACTTTGCTATCATCTAGATTCATCTACAATCACAGTCAGTAAAGATATGTCACGTAACTATCATCTAGATTCATCTACAATCACAGTCAGTAAAGATAAGTTACTTTGCTATCATCTAGATTCATCTACAATCACAGTCAGTAAAGATAAGTTACTTTACTATCATCTAGATTCATCTACAATCACTGTCAGTAAAGATAGGTCACTTTGCTATCATCTAGATTCATCTACAATCACAGTCAGTAAAGATAAGTTACTTTGCTATCATCTAGATTCATCTACAATCACAGTCAGTAAAGATATGTCACGTAACTATCATCTAGATTCATCTACAATCACAGTCAGTAAAGATAAGTTACTTTGCTATCATCTAGATTCATCTACAATCACAGTCAGTAAAGATAAGTTACTTTACTATCATCTAGATTCATCTACAATCACTGTCAGTAAAGATAGGTCACTTTGCTATCATCTAGATTCATCTACAATCACAGTCAGTAAAGATAAGTTACTTTGCTATCATCTAGATTCATCTACAATCACAGTCAGTAAAGATAAGTTACTTTGCTATCATCTAGATTCATCTACAATCACAGTCAGTAAAGATATGTCACTTTACCATCATCTAGATTCATCTACAATCACTGTCAGTAAAGATAAGTCACTTTACTATCATCTAGATTCATCTACATTCACAGTCAGTAAAGATAAGTTACTTTGCTATCATCTAGATTCATCTACATTCACTGCTAGTTAAGATAAGTCACTGTACTATCATCTAGATCCATCTACAATCACTGCTAGTTAAGATAAGTTACTTTACCATCATCTAGATTCACTTAAAATCACTGTCAGTAAAGATAATTCACTTTACTATCATATACATTCATCTGCAACCATGAGACAATAAAGTGAGGGCATGAATGTGTGCTACAGGTTATTCACGTTCAAGATCCCTAGACAATTGCAACTCGAAAAAAGGGAGGCTAATGTCAGAGGATTTCTAGTCAAAATGTTCCTCATTGCACGTTAATGATGTCGCCTTAATTAGGTGAAGAAAAGTAAACGTAGCTCCATTCATTATATTTCGTCTATACGCTATAAATAAGATAAATGGGACATAACCCGGTGATAACTAAAGCGTATGAATAAAGTTCTTAACGACTTACAATGGTAGACTTTTTCGTTAACAAATCTCTTCGATAATTTATATTACGTGTACCATAACGACAACGCCCCACTTCAGCCATCCGTGTAGCTTTTTTAGTGCAAATCAGACATTGTCCTCGTGTTCAAAAATGAAATTTTGGGGTGGAAAAGAGAGCAAGTTCACTTTTCTATACATTTTCTTTCATTCTAGACGAACCAGGCGTTTACTTTTCATTCTGACAGGTGGTACGGATGGTTCTGATAAGGCTATATGAGATGAAATTAAAATATTTTAGATGGTTGTATCCCTTTCAGGAAATGCCTGGTTTAAATTTGTATTTTTTTCTTTTGTAATATTTCTTGAGAATGACTTATATCCTGTAATTCTTATCGTATCATCTTGCATGTAAAACCTTTCCAACCACTTCGGTTGTCTGAAAGAAAAAATAAGTTTTACTACATCCTGTTGTACAACTTTCAGAGTCAGTGTGCAACTGGATTTTCAAAGACTGCTAGCAGTCGATGGCATCTGGTTAATTTTTATCAATCTTTGAGTAAGAGTTAGCTCACTGACGACTTCAATACAAGTAGTTATAGGGAACTCATGTTGTAGCCTACTTTCTAGAATGAAAAAAGGACCCTGAACCACCAGATGGTTCGGAATCCGGCCTTCACAGTTACAGGTAGTTGCATTTTCACAATATGGCAGTTTCACTCTATCAAACGCGAGAGATGCAATTTATTGCGTTCAAAAGTCGTTCGATTTACTTTATTGTTACACTTCATATCAGCTCATTAAAATTCGACTAAGACAGTTGCTACGGTAAAAGGTGGTCTAAATTTTCCTCGGTTGAAAATAGGCTACGATCTCATTACAATTTTGGTTTACAAAAAATTTGTGACCACATAAAAAAAAAGTTTCGAGAACATTTGCTTGAAATAAATAAATAATAATTACCCATTGATGAACTTGGGCCGCGGCACAACAAACTGTCATAACTCTTGCAGAGCTTTCGCAGTCTTTGAGGACTTCTTCAGCGAGTTTTGCTTGCTTTTTACTGACATTTGGTATTTGTAGGTTTTTACATTTCATTATAATAATATCTATGTTTGCCATAAATATTTTTATCTTTTTCCACTCCTGAAACCAACAAGTATATTAGGTTGTGAATATTGGAACGATATACGTCAATTAACTATAGAAACACCTAAATTAGGAATCAATTCATCCATATCATGTCAATGTCGATTCAGTTTTGCCTTCTGTTGATTCGCTAAAATTGTTTTTCAAACTTAGTTTTGAAGTATTCCGTCTCTTATTATCTAACTACTGTATATATATAACTTTATTTCTTCCAATGGTGAAGATTATCCAGATGATACAATTAATCAGAAAATTAACGCGTTATTCTTTGACAAAAACTTCCATTAGTTGTAATACATATAACCCGATTGTAAAGACTATTATAACCAGTGGCTCAACTATCACAGGGACTGGTTCTGGTTGAAGTCCACCCCCTACTCCCCCCCTACCGCTCCTAAAAAAGAATGCAGAAAAGCATATATGTAAAAGAAAGTTCCTGTGGAAGGGGCCCCAAGATATTAAGTTCACGGCCCCCCGTGCACATGGTTAGTTGAGCCACTGATCATAACCAGCAGAAATGGGGAACTTTATTCAATGCACTTTGATACACCACGTTGAAGACCTTTGGTACTTACTGACCTTTGCGTCTGTCACTGGGTGCCCTAAAACAAGCATGAATGCAGACAATGTTGTTTTCACCATTTCAGGTGGATTTGCTAACGACTTTAATTCTGTTAAGCTGTTTTTACCAATCTCTGCTTCAAGTTCCTTTGGTTGGTTGTTAATGAGACGTTCATTCTTTTCCGGAAGCTCTTTTTGTTGGCGTTGGAGTTTTAAAGTCCTTACAGCATTTTCTAATTCGTCTAATTGTTCTGTAGCCATGCTCTTCAGTTGACCTACAATGCATAACAAACAATGTCCAGAAAAGGCTGGATATTTTGTTAACTCTAAGACAAAGAACTAATAAGTAGGTCTAATTTATAGTTTCAAAATGGCATATCTCCGGCTTTCAGGCGACTCATCAGGACACGTATTCTCAAAACGATCCTAGTGCTTGGATGTCCTAAGTTCTTATCTTCTTATAACATTGATTCTAGGACATCCTAGCCCTAAGATCGTTTCGAGAATACCAGGCCTGATCTTGCCACGACTATAAATTGCCACCAAGAGTTGTCTTTAAGATATTACAATATGCTGACTTTTACCAACGAAGTGGAAGTGGGCACAACTGGAATATTGAAAGTGCTTTGAAAATTTTAAATCTTGTACTTTGCTATCCTTATGGCACTGTAATGGAGATGATAGGTGTATAAATTCAACCCCCAGAATATGGTTAAATGTGGGTTCCCTTATTTTTATTCATGCAAATGAAAATGCTAATATTTATATGAATAGAAAGTAAAGGTAATAACGAGGCAATGCCAGTTTGTTTCACATGTCCATAATTAATTCATAATTAGCTCAATTAGAAGAGAATTCCAATGAGTGACCGATCAAGAAAGGTCAAAAAGTATTTTTTTGTTTATCCAGACTGTACATACATGGACATTAATGATTAGTTAAAACTTAATTATATACAATAAGAACATAATGATATGATAAAGAATACATGGTAATCCATTACAAACACTAATTAATGAAATAGTTTGCTTTATTTAAGGCTAAAAAATATGGAAACCCATCTTTAAACAGAGCACAAATATAAAGAACGGTTTTGCAATACATGGGATGTATTTGTATATAAGGTATTATATATTTGTTCCCATATGAAATTTTGCGCTTGGCTTAGTTACCATTTTCATGTAAGAACCACATGTAGCTTCGTATGATTAGTTTCGGAAGAGTTTGAAAAGACATTTCTTTCACAAAATACTACATTGACTGAATTTCAAAAACAAAATATTTTATTTACCGTAGTCGGAGCAGTTAACATTTTTCAACAAGTTTTTTGCCGTAGAAATATCCATCATGATAGCTTTTCCATATACATTAATGTTCTGCAGTAACCAAACAATTGCCAAACAATCATATTTGTAAATAATATTTGAGATAAAATCCTATTTTTGACAATAAGCCAACGTGGATTACTTTTGATCCGCTTCGAGTAATATCAAAATCAGATTAAACACATAATTCTTTTATGACTAAATTGTTATCCATATATTAATGTTAAGAGACATTCAATATAATATAGTATGTAATATTATACATGATAGAAATATCACATCACCTCAACAGTCACGAGAGATTAGTGAATATCCAGTCAGAGAAGCTATTTACGTCACCAGATAGAGTGGTGAATACCAGACGGAGGAGTCACCAGAGATTAGTGTGGTGAATATCAGACGAAGAAGCTACAACATCAGACGTAGGAGTCACCGGAGATTAGTGTGGTGAACATCAGACAGTGGAGTCACCAGATATTATTTGTGTATGGATATCAGAGGGAGGGGTCACCAGAGATTAGAGTTGTGTATATCAGAGGGAGGAGTCACCAGAGATTAGAGTTGTGTATATCAGAGGAAGGAGTCACCAGAGATTAGAGTTGTGTATATCAGACGGAGGAGTCACCAGAGATTAGAGTTGTGTATATCAGTCGAAGGAGTGACCAGATATTAATTGTGTGTATATCAGATGTAGAATTGACAAGTCACCAGATATCATAGTGATGTATATCAAACGGAGTAGTCACGAGATATTAATGGTGTGTGTATATCAAACGGAGGAGTCACGAGATATTAATGGTGTGTGTATATCAAACGAAGGAGTCACGAGATATTAATGGTGTGTGTAAATCAAACGAAGGAGTCACCAGAGATTATAGTGGTGTATATTAAACGGAGGAGTCACGAGATATTAATGGTCTGTGTATATCAAACGACGGAGGAGTCACGAGATATTAATGGTGTGTGTATATCAAACGGAGGAGTCACGAGATATTAATCGTGTGTGTATATCAAACGGAGAAGCTACAACGTTACCAAATAAGGTGCTAAGACGTTACAAAGTCACCAAAGATTGTGATCAAACGGAGAGTTTCAGAATTCTTAATAACCGGATTTCGTAATAATTGAGAATCTCGTTCTTTTGATAATCAATAACTGTGACTTAGACACTGTTGACGATTCCTGATAAATTTCTATATGGTGATGTACATACTTCCCTGACTGATAAGTCATAATTTCAGTATTTACATACAAACTTATCTCCCAGTTAGCTGGCACAGGGATTTTCAACCTGTGGTAATTTTGTAATCTTGGGGGGTTATGAGTTGCTTTGTAATACACTTTTAAGAGTATAACCTGAGAGAAAATCACGAAAAAGTACCAGTTTATAAGGGAAGGGCGTGGCGTTATCGCTCATGGAACAAGGTTGAAAACTTCTGAGCTTGCAGGTTGGCACAACAACAGTTTTCTGTGGTCTGAATGCACGATTTTAGTAAATTAAGTGTAGCTTTCTAAAACTTCATTGAATTTCAATGAACACATAATAATAACAGAACACCACTTTATGGATTAATAAAATAGAAAGAAATTGAAAACAAGGCACATACATTTGAAGATGATTTTAATGATAATATTTACACATGATATGATTTATTTACATACAATAATTACAAAATACAAGATATACAAATCTGCTAGACTAATTCACCACATTGAGATATTGTAACCCTTTCTGTTGGATTGCCACCTTTAGTTCCGAAAGTCTGAAAAAGAAAAAAAACATTCTCGATATTCAAATGTTATGAACTTGGACCATTTACTTCAAACATTGTCTATTGATCAATTTTTTTTTTCAGTTAAAGGAACAGATTCACCATTTTTCGAGATAGTTGATTTGGGTCTTGAATATATGTAAATAGACTTCATAAATACTAGAAATATACAAAAATTGCATAATTCCTTCAAAAATATCTCGGACTAGGAATTTCACTTTCTATTTCTATACATGCATGTCTTTTCTGTGCATCAGAGAGTATCGAGAAAATACGAGTTGTCATACATGTTTCTAAAGGCTCCATTTCAACAGTGAGCTGTGAACACTATTACTGAATGACTTAGCTACAAAACCAACATTTCTGAGACTATGGATTGGTCTCAAACAGTTGGCCAACCAGTCCCTTTAGGTCAATGAAATAGTTAATTTTGGCATGTTTTGCATAACGAATAATTCTAGATTGAAGGATTTTAGTGATTGTAAACTTACTTCCATTTTTCGTACTACGTTCATTCCTTCTATAACTTGTCCAAAAACAACATGTTTTCCATCTAACCTACAATACAAATAGCAATAATTATATATTAGAATGTAAACCATAACTCCATGGATCATCATGAAATGTACATTCATTCATCACATAATATACTCATCTAATTTTAGGGCACAACTAGCATTCACCTGCATTTTCAATGTGTTAAGGTTTTGAATGGGGATAATATATTAGCAAGTCATTGTATAAAACTAAAGTGCAAGAAATTAATCAGTGAGTGAAATTTCAACTAAAATTATACATACCAGTCTGTTTTTTCTGTGGTTAAGAAAAATTGTGAGCCATTTGTATTGGGACCAGAATTTGCCATTGATAAAGTACCTGTAAATAAATATCAAGGAGGGTAAAAAATTCAAAAACATTTAAATAGCATGTGAGAAGCATCTAGCTTCTGCTGCACAGGAAAGGAACACAGTGCTTTGACTAGAATCAACTGAAAAGCTTTCTATTATTAATACCCCCAAGCACACTTCTTAACGTTAGACATAGAATAAGTTCTACTTGTCCAACTTAAGTAGGGGTGCAGGCTGAAAATAGGTCAGTTTTCTGACGATCGCATTGTATAAAACTCATGAGTAACTACACGAGTCAAATTATGTTTCAATATTTCTAGAACCAACATCATAATGCTAACGTACTATTTGAGAATCAATATCTTTACAAATACAACATAGATTTTTTTATGTGTCTCAAGAAGAATGTAAAGAAAATTTAAATAGAGTAGAAAGCTACCTGGTCCAGTGTGTTTCAATAGGAAATTTTCATCTTCAAACTTCTGACCATAAATAGATTTTCCTCCAGTGCCATTACCTTTAGTAAAATCTCCACCTTGACACATCTATAGCAGGGTTAAGGAAGAAAAAGCAAACAGGATGTACAAAGAAAGATGAACATATATAAAAAAAAAAACAAAAGCCAAGGTTAGAAATGGAATATGGAATGCACCCTTCTACTCTTAACATTATCAAGCTATAGGTAAATTAGCAAAGCCAGATGGCTGAGAAAGCATCAAGGCATCTTAAACATGAAGGGATATGATAACAAATATTTTCCATTAAAAACACACATTTCAAAGGATACAAATGAAGGTATTATTCTATGAAAAGTAGAACCTTTATAACCAAACCCTTTTTCATGGGTACATAAACATCGGAAGTTCTCTACAAAAAAAGACCAGTAAATAAATTAAAAAAAGAATTTTCAAAAAATGACATCTTACCATTGTAGTTAATTCCCTTTATTTTGCTATATATGTGTTAACATGATGTGTTAGTAAACATTTTTCACTTATAAATATTGTGGTCTCACAGCTTAAGAAAAGAATGCTCAATTACTCAAAATAGAAATTTAGCATAAACAAAACAATCAACTTTCTGAGAAACACTCTTGATTCAGATAGTTTTTCATTAACTCAATCGGACATGATATAAAATCATAAAAATAAAGCTTGTTAACATACCTGCAGTTTTAGGAACAACTTCTGACTGTAATTCTATAATAATACGCCCAATATCTTTCTTACCAGCCTTGATATCTAAATACACTTGAGCGTTTCCACGTGATCTTTTAGCTGGTACAGTTGACTAGTAAAATGAAAAAAACATTTTGACAATTTATGTGATACATTACATTCTTGTTACAATTCAAGGAAAGGTAGTTTGATCAGATTCAAGTTGAGTTCACAACCCTTAGCTCTTTTCAAAATGAAAATCCAACTTCTGGTTCATTTAATCATTAATTTAATGATGGTAAAATCTTCACTAATAATGCTTAAAATCTTTTGTCTTAAAAAGGTGAAATACAGATAGCAGATAATATAGTAAAGCCAATTTATTGGTATAACTGTTACTTACTGTCTCACTATCTGGTGCAGAACGTTTAGGTGCTGGGTTTTCAGGTTGAGCCACATCATCTGCATCATCATTTTTCTCTAAAGTTTCTCCAGCATGTTGTTGTAACCACGAATCTTCAGCCCAAACTGTGAGAAAAGAAGTGATTTCTTTTATAAAAATTGCAATGGCCATATCATAAAGAGGATTTATAATTTTACTGAAAACTTCTAAGTTCTAAGTTCTAAGAAAAGTTCTAAGCCTAACTGGGATATCTCCATCAGATTGAAACAAACTTTTGCCACCGGCAAGGACAGTCATTTAATCAAAAGAACTGTAACTGTACTGTCACTATTTTCTTTGTAATAGTCCATCACGTGAACCTACTTCTCTGCAAGTTAGATGCCAAAGCTCTGGACAGCTGATCAGATGATCATCATGAACAGAACATATCTACATCCCCACCCCTAGGTAACACTTATAGAGAAGACAAACACTTTTGAATTTATTAGTTCATGATATATCAATATTACCTGCTCTTGATGCCCCTTCCTTGACTTTCATTGGTTTTGCCAGATTTACTCTTATCGTTCTTCCAAATAGCTCAGAATCATTCTAAAATGGCAAAGGAGTGAATCTTGTGAAGCACAGAACAGTTCAGACAAAAATTAGCTAAAGCAACCTAGCCAGCAATATTGTCAATTCAGTATCGTCCTTGTTTTTCGAAAATATTTCAAATTAACAGAAAATCTGTTAACTTTACTTAACAACGCCATGCAAAATAACCATGAATATGTAAATCATCGTGAACAAGCTATGAAGTCAGTTAGTTGGAGTACTACAGAATGCAAAACGCAAATTGCAAACAGCTTAATTGATTTTTTTTAAATTTAAGAAAGCCATGTTTAGCTGCAGTCAAACTTACCATGTTATCAATAGCAGCTGCAGCATCCTGAAAGCAAGAAATCAAATAGAGTAAAAAGAAATATATCATAAGCTCAAGCTATAACTTTTAAGTTCTAAAATTTCCACTGCAAAAAGGACAGTGGAGGGTGTCCCAAGCACTGCAAGACATTTTCATTTGAACACCTGGTACCACTGTATCTATATGTCAATTCTGTATTCCTTTCTGAAGGACAACCATTAATCATGTTACTTAGCATATCAATCGCAACATTGGTTAACATGTATGGTATAATCCAACTTGAAGTTAGTGTATTTCATAGAACCTACCTCAGCCAATTCAAATTCAACAAAGGCAAATCCTCTGTGTTTTTCTGAAACGAAATGAAAAAAATATCATTGTCTGGAACAAAAGATTAAAGAAATTTCAATTCTTGACACAAGACCAAGATATTTCAGAAAGCCTATCAAAAATAGATTAATATAACCTTAGTTTACTACTTAAGAAAATGAACGAAGTCGTGGAATATCAGATGGCAAATTTGTAGACTAAAAATAGCTATTCTGTTATACTAGTACTTAATTTGATGCATAAGGCCCAGATTAAAAACACAAACCTGTCTCATAATCTAAAGGTATGTTGATATCTATAACATCACCAAATGGAATGAAAGCTGCATGGAGTATTTTATCATCCACCTCCTCAGCCAAACCACCTGAAATGATATACATACATATGAACTAGGCTTACATAACTGGCCCTGAACCATTAACGTGTCCATACAAACGTTACCAGATATTGAACAATGTCCATGTATCCAACACTTGCCTTGTTCTTTTAGTACTCCCAGCACATACACTACAGCAGAGACCCCTCATTGGGGCCCCACTTGACCTCAGTCCCCACGACCAAATCAAAATATAACTATAAGATGCTCAATTATTAAGAAACGAGAAAGAAGATTAATAATCCTTAGAATATTTTTGGAATTATCTAGCATACATACCGACATATACCATTCTTTTTGCATTTGCTGTGTTTGAACTCATGCTTGCGTTTTTAAACCGGAAGTTTACATTATATGTGGTCGCGAACAAAAGGCGGAATTTAAAATCCATCAAAAATATGTAAACGAAACAATAATTTCTATTTCAATTCGTGGTAAAGAAAATACCAAATCGCCATTCTAGACCCATTAGTCTAGTTCCCAAATAAAAATATAACAACGTTCCAATTTTTACGCACAAAATCATCTCTTCGGGAAAAACGATATTTTTTAACTGGATGTGTTCGATTTGTTTCTCATCATATTCGAACCCAAGTTGTTCTAGAGTGACTAGAGTGCCGTTCATTCATGAACACTTCAAGTAAAAATCCGTAGCCGTAATGATGCCGTAATGATACTTATTTGGAATAACTTTCAAAAGTGGTTTCCATCTTTTATGTGTATCGGGTGAAATTCTTTTGCACTATATTTTGAAAATATTATTTGCAATAGAGGCATATAGGCTAGTGCCATAGATAGCAGTAGAAAGCCAGAAATATTCTTGCTTCATGTGAAAAAGTGCTATCTTTTAAATATTTTTAATGCAGGCCTATAAGATTACTCGTGGTCGTTAATGATGGCATTTCATTTGAATTCAAGAAAATCGTAATTAAGATAAGGTCTCTACATAAAGTTTTAAATATATTATAAAACTCTATGGGTATCTATTTGATTTGTGTAGCCGACTCGTGTGGTCGCATAGCCTTCAACATTGCCTTTAAAACATACACGTAACGATTGTCAATAATATTAAGCTGTCTGCCAGACGAGTCCTAAATAGGATTAATGTACTGGCCTAGAACAATGTTCTTTTGACACGCGTTGCTCCGAGTAGATCAAAATAGTGCCTCGAACACTCAAATTTCTCAAAGGTTCCCGCCAGTACTCCCAAATATTGCGACTTTCAGGAATTTTTAGATTTTTGATCAATGATAGCTTTACAGGTTCACTACATTTTATCATTAACTAATTTAAACAGCGATGGCATGTATTAGTAGCTGTAAGAAGGCATGTTATTCACTACCAGACACTGCTTACACCCCCCTCCCCTTCTCACTCTTATACTTAAATCGTAACTGTCAGAAATCCTTGACACTCCACCAATCCACATGGAAAACCTGAAGTAACTAGGTTAAAGCCAGAGAAATAAAACTTAGGTCAAATAGGTTATTAAGTGCAAGCTGTTGCACAGTTGAATTAAGTTGAAAAGTTGAAGCAGGGATGAATTGCCTTTTTGTTTACAAATTTGTGATACAATTTCTTAGTTCTTGTACATTTTCTCAAGGTCCAATGCAAACTTTGGCACCAATTAATGTTACCCTTTTTATTTTAAGTCTTCAAGATATAAATCATGTCGAAACGAAAGTCAGAAGAGACCATTGATAATGGTGTGTTAAAGAAGAAGAAAGGTATTAAAGGCAAAAATGATAAAAACAGGGAGGAAGAAGACATGTTAACAGATTATAATAATGATATAAATTGTTCACAAACTGCAGACTTTGAACCACAAGCTGTAAGTTGTATTCAGTCAAGTAACCTAATTTCATGAAAATTAATCGCGCTACGTATCTTATTTTGTCAGTCACTATTTTTTTTTTAAATCGTTCTTCTTTGAAGGAATTGTCACTAGGTATAATGAATTGATATTAAAGATAAATACTAAGAGAAGTTAATTATACCACCCGGTATCCATACGTGTTTTTCTAGACTTATTTATAGATCAAACATTGTACACAAAAATAGGTGCCGTTGCCGAGTTGTTTGCTCATGAAATATGGGTCAAAGTGAAGAATTCATAAAGAAAATCGAAATAAACTATTTTGTAGAATATCTGAGGAAAAATTTTTTCGTTTTTTTTAACTTTGACGAAATTCGGTGTTAAATCCTTATATCCACGAAAATAGGTTACACCACTGTATGTATTACCTGGTGCTTGATGAATGTGATTGAATAGCATTAATCTCTTAGTCTTGGCTTATTGTGCTGTGCTTGCAAGTGTAGTAAAGGATTGAGTAAGAGTGACAAACATCAGAGAAATGTTCCTTTAACAGCATTAACAGGATTGCTGAAAAAGGAAGTATTACCATAGATATTAATGTGTATATGAGATTCTAATTTCTGAGGAAAATGACATACCGGTACTCGTAACATAATTAACTTGTACAAAATTATACAAAATCATTGTAAAATAAGTTTTTAAACAACTTGGAAAGTACCTTCTACCAGGGAATTATTTAGTCAAATTAGTACTATAAAACTGATATAATGGTCACTAAACAGGCTCAGCTATCTGCACGAATTTTAAGAACGTAGATCTGTTTTAGTGTAGTTTCTTTTGTCCACATTAAGTACCAGTAGTAAAATTTTTTGTGAAAACTTAGATCTTCAATTCAACACCATAAGCTTCATAATGATGAAGCATTATTGATAACTCCAGAAACAGGAACTAAAATTCTGTAGGTATGATGCCATGATGCCATCATTTCTATTTTAGAACCAAAAGGAGGGTGAAGTGGGTATTATTGAGAAAGTATCTGTTAAAAATTTCATGTGTCATAGTCGATTGGATGTGAATTTTGGGCCACATGTTAATTTTGTTGTTGGGCGAAATGGAAGTAAGTATTTGGTATTTTTTTTCTTTTCTTGGAACATAGAAATTTTTATAAAATTTATTATTATTAAAAATAAGGAGCTGAAATTAAAATTTAAGCTTATATCAGTGAAGCAATATCAATAAAATATTCCCATAAGCTTATTGTTTAAAACTGAAAAATTGCATTTAAAATTATCCAAGCTTTTAAAAATTCAAATAGCAGTAAGCAGTATTTGAACTGTTGGATAAACTCAATCCATTGGAATATTTTGGAAAGCAAAATATATACGCTATTTAATGGCGTTCTTATAAATAATTTTATATGAATCTTTCATATTTGTGTAATGATATATTTATATGTAGTTTAACAGTGAAAATATTTTGTTATTTTATTTAACAGGTGGTAAAAGTGCTGTGGTAACTGCCGTGGTAGTTGGATTAGGTGGCAAAGCATCAGTTACTAGTCGTGGCAATGCTATAAAATCTTTTATTAAACATGGAAAACAGTAAGTTGATGTTAATTTTTGGATCCATTGATGTTATAAGTATTTGTATCAAAATGTATTCTGTGATATCTTGAGGACTGGTTTCTTTCTGTCAGAAATGAAGGTCCGAGGGGCTTACATGGAAAGAGTGTCATGGTTGTATGGGACAATAAGGCCCCCTTTTGCTACAGGCTGTGCACATTTAAGGTCCCTCAATAGTTTGAAAAAAAAGAGTATGGTAGGTTAATGTGGCTGTCCTGGCAAAATTTCCCTCATTGGCACTGCATGACATTGCACATCTTCATTAGCCCATAAGGTGCAGATAAATAGGATGTAAAACTCCTTTCATCTCATTTTAATTTCGAGAAGAAGCAGTAGGTCAAGCTTAATGCCAAATGCATGATTTCTTCTGAAAAACTTCGGATGGGTTAGAAATAAATCATTCATAATGGCCATATTCAGATTATAAAATAATGATTTTGTGTTATATGGTTATATTCATATCCACAGACGAGCTGAAATTGAAATCAAATTAAGAAATCGTGGATTAGATGCTTTCAAACCCGATTTATATGGCGATACTATTGTTGTACAGAGAAAGTTTTCAACAGAAGGTGGTAGTAAATATGAACTAAGAAATAAAGATGGTATGTTCAATATTTGATTTATTTTACATATGATATTCTGAATACATGTGGCTAACAGTCTTTGATCCATGGGTATTATCCTCCAGAAACCTAGAAACATATTGTGTTTCCTCAGCTGTTGTTTGATGTATATGTGATGATATCAGTTATATTCATTGTTATGCATCTGATAACTTCAGATAATGTAATATCATTATAAGCTTATTATTGTTATATATGTGATATCAGATAATTGAATTGTTATATATCTGATATATTGATGGATATATAAGAGATATATTGATGGATATATATCAGATATATTAATTGTTTTATATCAGATATATTAATTGTTATGTATCAGATATGTTGATTGTTATATATCAGATAATATGAGATATATTAATTGTTCTTGATTGTTACATGAGATAATATCAGATATTTAAATTGTTATGTACATTATAGTAACAGATGTATTGATTGTTATGTACAAAATTGTATCAGATATATTAATTGTTATCTCTCAGATAATATATTAATTGTTATGTACAAGAAAGTATCAGATTTATTAATTGTTATATATTTATCAGATTTATTAATTGTTATATATATCAGATTTATTAATTGTTATATATTTATCAGATTTATTAATTGTTATATATTTATCAGATTTATTAATTGTTATATATATATTTATCAGATTTATTAATTGTTATTTATATATCAGATTTATTAATTGTTATATATATATATCAGATTTATTAATTGTTATATATATATCAGATTTATTAATTGTTATTTAGGTAAATTAGTGAGTGATAAGAGAGAAGAATTAGCCCATATTTTAGATCAGTTTAATATACAAGTAGATAATCCTGTAGCTATACTGAATCAAGACACTAGTCGTAACTTTCTTAATTCTAAAAGTCCTCAAGATAAATATAAGGTTAGTATCTTTAACCATTTGACTTAAACAAATTTGAATATGTATTAATGTTGTCATTTCAACTTTTCAATGAAAAATATGTCTTTATACTTATTCCCGGTATCCCCTATCTTTTGTACTTTTTTGTATAGTATGCTACTGATGTGTTATTAGGATACCAGTACTTAAGTTATGTAATGTCATGTTGTAAAGACTTTCTAAATGATTATAATAACCTTACAATTTCCAGTTCTTTCTGAAAGCAACACAACTTGAACAAATGAAGAAAGATTATGCTACTGCTGATCAACAAAAAACTATAACAAATGATATTATCCTACAGAAAACAAAGGTAACATACAGTTTTACTAGCAGTATGTTACTAGCAAAGTTTTAGATTGTACCTACATATTTTTCAATTTTGTATCCATTATCAGTTGGTACACCTTAATGAGGTACATCATCCTGCAGACTTTATTTTAAAAAATATGTTAACAATTATGAATTGAAATGATTTTGGCACAATTTCAATACCATGCAGGTCCATTTTAGTAGGAAATTACTAATTATGCAGAAAGATCAACTTATTTCTATATCTGTCTAATATTTCTATATTAATCCACAATTGAATTGAACACTGTCAACACTGGAAACATCTCAAAAGATTTTATTTGTAATCTGTAAACGCTGACATACTCTTTCAGACATTACCTATACTAGAAAAAGAGGTATTAAAATGGGAACAGAGATTTAAAGCTTTTAATGCTTTAGATATGTTAAAGGAGAGAGTTAAACAGTTGAAGAATGAATTAGCTTGGTCTATAGTTTGTGATAAAGAAAAGGTTTGTTTTCTTATGTTTTAAAACATTTTGTGTTTATTCAGCATACTGTAGCTGTTCAACAGTCCTTCTCCAGAACTTCAGTGAATTTAGGCTTTTCATTTACTCTCTTCTGTCACTTCTGAACTTTTTGTCAACTGGACATTCTTTTTGGTGAAACTAGATTTCTGATGAACATCATTTGATAGTTTGTTTAGGCATTTTGTTTAAAAAGTGTAACTATTCAGCTATTTGGAATTTCTATAGGTGTTCCTAGTTTTTCAGATTTCTTCATATCTTTTTATGTAAATGAAGACACAGTCTATTACTCCCAGATCCCAATATTACTATTTTTTCCATGTGATACATTTAAGTATGATTAATATGGAATGGTCAATACAAATGGCCAATTTTTCAAACTAAAAAAAAAAAAAAAAAAAAAAATTTCAGGGACTTGACCCCATCAACAAAAAAATCAAAGAAGAAGAAGCAAAACTGCCAAAATTAAAACATAAGACAGAGCAAATAAAGGTAAGACATCATCTGAATTTAAGAAATAAGGCTAACAACTTATGTTCACAAAGGATCCTTTCTACTAGCTGGTCTTTAACCTTTTGGTATTGACCTTCCCTTTGATTACCCATTTACTTACAACTGGGACGACTGGAGTTAGAACGACTTATTCACATGCTGATTGTGATTAGAACTCACAGCCACAATTGGTTTGACGTAACATAGCAAATGGCTTCATGTAAAGAACCAGCACTCTAACAGGACTGTGCTACAGGTAGAAATTTATCCTGTTTAAATGTCAGACCTGTTATGTTATTGACTTGCTGGATTATGTTTTATTGTAATATTTACCAACAGAAAAAGATGAAAGATTTAGGTGAGAAACACAAAGAAATCAATGATCAACTAATGGCTATAGGTGAAGACGTAAAGAAACTTGAACCTAATTTACAAGCTAAAAAACGTAACGTCCATGATGCTAAAGATCAAGTTAGACAAGCTCAGGTAAAGCATTTCTGTGTATTAACCTTACTGATTGAATTAACCACAGAAATTCTGGTTAGCTTCAGATTCAGCTGTTGATCCACATAGTATCTCTCTTTCAAAAAGAAAATGACGATATGGTATAGTTTCATTGTTATCTATCTTTGTCTGATTACCAATCAATGATATATGATATTGGCCATTTACAATAACACGATTTTTTTACCTCTAATATTAAATTTTTATTAAGTTTTATACTTCTAATATTGACTTCCTAAGTAATACAATTTTTTCAGACAACATGTAGGAAATATGAAGAAAATATCAAAAGTATAAAGCGTGATAAAGAAGAAGTTATCAGAAAAATAGCTGAGATCAAATCACAGTAAGTATTCCATAAGATTATCTTGGATGACTTGATGAATTTGAGTAAATGGTTTCTCCAAGACATAAAAGTATTAAAATTTTATAAATTTGGGTTTTTTTAATTTTCAAATTTTCACTATAAATAATGAAGAATTGTTCACGCTTTGATGTCACAGTCCGATATTTAAAAGGATTAACTGTAAACAAATGACAAATACAGCCATACCAGCATTCCTTTAATAAAATTCTGCATTTACTGTTAGTTGTAAACATATTTTGAAAGACTGTACAATATTTTAAAGTTGATATGTCATCGGAAAAGTTTACCTGGTAAACAAGGGTTTTTGATCTCTTGTGTAAATTGACAATGTTTCAATATTTTTGTATCTATCTATACAGGTCCCAACATGATTATGAAGCAGATCGTATTGAACGTCAAGCCACTATCAATCAATTACAAGATAGTTCAGAAGAATTGGTAGCTAAACAGAAATCTACAGGTCATGATAGGGAACAGTATATTGGTGCTGTTAGTCGATTGAAAAATGAAAGTTATCATTTAGGGTAAGTATCATAGTATAGAGGGATTGTAAAGGCGTTTTATGACGTCACTAGAGGGGAGCTACTATTAATATAATTATATGCAATTCCTCTCAAGTGACGTCATAAAATGTGTCAGTTTTAGTGGAATTGCATGAACCACAGAGGTCGAAATGAAAATTGGAATGGTGCAAATTGAAGCTATCAGTGTCCCAGATATACATAAAAAGTTTAGAAAACCTCTTTACAATCCCTTTAAGTTAATATATTCTGATATCCTCAATGCATAAATAATTTTTAAACTACATTAAGGGGAACTCAATTTTATGGTATCCTACTCCGGATTTTTAGTATACAGCGATTCAGTAATTTACATTTTCATTGTTAAGAGTAACACAGAAATATAACTTCTCAAATTATATTTCCTCATATCTCGCGATGCTAACATTGTAAATAGTTGAAACATTGTGTTCAATAAAACTCAGGAGTAGTATACCATAAAATTGAGTTCCGTTATTCACTTCGGTATCTTTGATATTGACGAATCAATTGAGGCAGAAAATCGTGTTGATATTTCAAGACTGGATGTTAAGGACAGACATTGTATGGTCTTGATGATCAAGACGACATAACTATTTTTTTCAGACAAGATGAACAACAGCTACGAAGTAGTTTAAATCAAACTAAAAGACAGCTAGATACTCTGGTGTCCTCTCGTAAAGATAGATTTCAACGTTTTGGTCGAGGAATCCCTAATGTTGTACAGAAAATAGAGGATTTGTGTAAAAAGGGACAGTTCCATCAAAGACCTAGAGGTCCAATAGGTAAAATATGTTCCCGGACTTTTTGTTGCACTGAATGACTGATGCTGTTTTGGCTCTATATGTCTTTCAGCCAATTTTGATTGTTCTTTGATATGATTTAGTCTGAATTTTAGCTGTTTTAGCTGGTAGGACCTAAAGGGATTATAAAGAAGTTTTCTAAATTTTGTATGTGATCAAAACAATTTTAACATTCCAATTTTCAATCAGACGTCTGTGGTTTCTGCAATTCCTCAAAAAATAACTGTTCAATTACAAAAATATGCTCACATAAGATTGTATTTGAAAATGAAAAAGAGGTGTAGGCCAGAAATGATATAATGTTCACTTATGGTCAGATGATATGAATCGCTTAATTCGTTCGTTCATTCATTTAATTATTCTGTTATTCAGGTGCTTGTTTTGAGTTAAAAGATCAGAAATGGGCTCTAGCTGTAGAGAGTTGTTTAAAAGGTTTAATTAGTTCATTCTGTTGTCATGATCATCATGATGAGAAGATACTGGAGAAAATTTTAGCTCAGGAATGTTCTAATAAACGTCCTTCTATTATCACTTGTAAATTTAGGGTAGGTTCAATTTCTGGTATATGTCCACAGTTGTCACGTTAGGAGCAAAAGCCAACCTGGAAAATCTTGAAAGAAAAAAGTAGTTAAACCAAATATATTTGTTTCTTCAAATGATTTTTGGTAACTCACATTCACTTACAGAAGTATACAGGTAGTTGAAAATGTGTTTTTAATCTTAAGGGATTTATTTATTGAGGAATTTCTTTTAAAAATGTTTTTGTTTTTTTAATTTCAGCCACATGTATTAGATGTTTCAAGACATGTAAGTACAAACTTAAAGAAATACAGTTGTTTAACTTAACATTTTACCTAGCTACTCATAGCACTATTCAAAACCAAATATTTTGGCAGTACAAGACACTTACAGGTCTCTCACTTGCAGAAAGCAGTGGACCTTACTGCATATTTTGAGTTTATTCTTAATTGCCATACGTTAACTATTATTTACAGTGTTTACTGTTATTTTTTTTTTTACAGTGATTTACCATGATTATCATGTGTTTACAGTGATTTACCATGTTTATCATGTGTTTACGGTGATCTACCATGTTTATAATGTGTTTACAGTGATTTATCATGATTATCATGTGTTAACTATTATTTATTGTTTTTATCAAATATTTACTGTTAGATATAATGTTATCACTGTTATTTATTACAGAGAGTACAGAGTGATAACTATCCTTCTGTATTAGATTTGATACAAACTGATGATTCAGTAATAGCTAACACCTTAATAGATCAGGTTTGTACATGAAGTTCAAAGTATAATTTTGCTCATTTCTGGCTTGTAAGTCACTCCAAAACACTAATTATAATCAGAATCATACAGTATGAAATACAAGATTCAGAATATGCTATGACAATACTTGAGAAAGCAACAAGAAGCAGCAATTCATTTAACAAAGTTGAGAATATACACAGTATGACCATATTACAAGAGGAGAATATCAATTAACAAAAAGCATTTCATAAAACCCAGCAGATTATGAGATTAAACACAAGATTTAACCTCATAGTAAATAACCGAGAGTCGAGACATTATTGAAAAGATTAAGTAATGATATATCTGTTGTTTTACAGAGAGGATTAGAAAATATTATTCTAATCAGTGATAATACGGAAGCTAGAAAAGTTATGGAAAGATGTCCTCCCAGGAACTGTAAAGAGGTAAAAATAACTGTGCAATGAATTAAATTAAACACCATTTCTTCACAAATATCTCAAATTAGGAATTTAACTCTCTATTTCTATAAATCAGAGTCTCAAGAAAAGACGAGTTGTGTTTTTAGCGTTCAAGTGTGAAAAATTCTTGATGGATTTGAAGGCTCAAATATTACTGATAAGCTTAGCTATAAAAAAATTGCTGTTTTTTAGATTAAGGTATGATTGGTCATAAAAATGGCAAACCTGTTTGAAGTGTTCACTGTAAAAATTTATGTTTTTAATTTCAGGCGTTCACATTAGTAGGAGATCAGATATACTGTTCACCAACATTCCGATATTACTCCAATAATAATGATAAAGCTAGAATGTTAACAGCCAATGTGGAGGAAGATATAAGAAATTGTGAGATGGAGATACAGAAACTACAGTCAGACTATGATCAAATTAGACAACGTAAAAAACAAATGGATGATGAAATTCGTAAAAACCAACGGGAAGAGAAACATTGCGAAACTCAACTAATGAAAATTAGTGAAGCTATTAATAGCACAAATCAGGTATATTCTTTTTTCCAAATGAAAGATTATTACTTATTTCTGCATTATTATTCGTGGATTTAATTTGTTATTTTCTTTTGCTCCAAAGTTTTACATGTTGCCACTGTACCATATTTTGGCACTAATTTTCTTCTGGTTTATAACATTGGGTATTTTTATGGAACTAAAACCAACATTTTCTTTTTTTGCTAGAAAATTGAAGAATTGAAGAGTATAGAGGATCCAGCACCTGTTGATGTCTCTACATTAGTAAGTACTTTGATGACTTTCTATTTTTCCTTGGTTAAGATTAAATTTGATTTGAGACTTTGTCAAAGCTAGTATAGCATCTGCTGTTTTGGAACATTTTTGCTAGCTTTTCTCTGAGAAGTTATTCAATGAGTATGATAACAGATAAGGAGCAAGTCTACAGACAATGTGATAATCTGATATCAGACAAGGAGTTTGTCTGATAACAGACAATGTGACATTTAGAATAGAAAGGAGGCAAATCTCATAAGAGAAAAGGAGCAAATCTCAGAACAGAAAAAGAGCAAGTCTGATAACAGAAAAGAAGCAAATGTTATAACAGAAAAGGAGCAAGTCTGAAAACAGAAAAGAAGCAAGTCTTATAACAGAAAAAAGCAAGTCTGATAACAGAAAAGAGTGAAGAAAATGAAGAACATATATAATGAGAGCTAACATTGTCTGATAACAGAATTGTTGATATTGAATCCTCTGTTACAGGAAGAAGAAGTTGAAGGTTATGATCACCAGATCTCTGTAATAACAGAACAACACAAACAAGCTTTAACAGAGTTAAATGATAAAAAAGCTTGTTTTTACACTGCCGAAGCTGAATATGTAGCTCAACAACGGGAAATAAAAGCTAAAACTGAAGCATCTGAACCTCTACAGGTATGCTTTGGAATATTTTTTAAGAAATATTTGAAGTTGACATTGATGCAGTCCATAGAGCTTATTTAATTGATCTCTAGAAAGACAAAGCTCAAATTCCAGTCTGTGTTATTTTTTCAAGAAATTTCAAGTAGCACAGAAAGCGACACAGAAAAGCTAAGATTGCTTTGTATTGTTGCTATTGATATTTTGTTTCTATCCAAACTTTGTTTATATTTTTGTTATAATTTACCTGACCATTAGTAAAGTATATTAAGTATATTAAGTATATTATTCATTGTAATTTCAGACTGAAATGAACGAAGTTAGTTCAGATCTATCTATTATTAAACAAAACAATAAAAGATATGATGAGATGTTGAAAAATCAGGAGAAGCTAGCAGCTGATGTCCGCAAACAAAAGAAAGAGTTTGAAGAAGAACTAGAGGTAAATATAGATAATATCTTAACCAGTTTCAACCTTAATTCTCCACACTTTAATCAATATTTGAAGAGCTTATTGGTAAAAAGTTGTCATTAAGATGGGATAAGGAACTGAGGGTCCCATGCACAGGGATAAATATTCTTTGACAATTGGAAATCTGAAAAAATTTCGTTAATGTAATATAAGAGTTCTGTGTTTTTCAGACGGATGTGAGGAAAGCAACAGAGTTTTGCCCAGAACGGGTTAATACCAGAAGAACACCTCATACATTACATAGTGAAATTAGTCAAATTAATAAAACTATTAAAAATGAAGAAAAGTTGTAAGTGTTTGAATTTTACTTCCTTGCAAAGAAGACTTAATACCAGATACATCAATTTTACTCCCCTCAAAAATAAGTTGGAATTGATAAGAGTCAAATTTGCACATTTCTTGATAGCTCATGTCATTTATGTTTTTGTTTTAAGTGAGCTAATTTGTTTTCTATTAAGACGTGGTAATTATGAAGAAATCACTAGAAAATATAAAGAAACTGGTGATGCTTTTAAAAAGATTGTTCATGAAGTACAACAGTTGAAGAATTTCAATTCTGTAAGTATCTAATCCATGGATTCAAATCATTCAGATCAAGATCTGAAAAAACATCACCTATTCTATTCTATTCTATTCTATTCTATTCTATTCTATAAACAAAAATGCCAATATGACCTATTGTATTTTATTTCTATTCTATTATTATATGACCTATTGTATTTTATTTCTATTATTATATGACCTATTGTATTTTATTTCTATTCTATTCTATTCTATTATTATATGACTTATTGTATTTTATTTCTATTCTATTCTATTATTATATGACTTATTGTATTTTATTTCTATTCTATTATTATATGACCTATTGTATTTTATTTCTATTCTATTCTATTATTATATGATTTATTGTATTTTATTTCTATTCTATTATTATATGACCTATTGTATTTTATTTCTATTCTATTATTATATGACCTATTGTATTTTATTTCTATTCTATTCTATTATTATATGACTTATTGTATTTTATTTCTATTCTATTATTATATGACTTATTGTATTTTATTTCTATTCTATTCTATTATTATATGATTTATTGTATTTTATTTCTATTCTATTCTATTATTATATGACCTATTTTATTTCTTTTCTATTCTATTATTATATGACCTAGTGTATTTTATTTCTATTCTATTATTATATGACTTATTGTATTTTATTTCTATTCTATTATTATATGACCTATTTTATTTCTATTCTATTCTATTATTATATGACCTATTGTATTTTATTTCTATTCTATTCTATAAGAACTTGAAACAACAATGCCAATATAACCTATTGTATTTGTATTGTATATTGTAGAACATGGAAAAGATTATGACTAATAGAACAAGAAGATACTCTAAACTAAGACAATACATAGCTTTAAGAGCTAAATTATTCTTTATAGTTTTATTAAGTAATAGAAATTATAAAGGCAAGATGAGTTTTAATCATACAAAAGAATCACTAGATATGACAGTAAGTATATAAACGTTAATTTATTTGGTATACAACAATCATGTACCTTTCTAAGGATTATATAGGATGTCAAAGATAGGTGCCTAGGAAAACCATGTGCTCTCTGTCCATTGTAGCCAAAAGACAATATTTTCAGGTACAATATCAGAAACTTTATGTTGACCAAATCAAATTACGCAATTGTGGCTCACTTTTTGATTGATTGAAATTTTAATCTCATACATTAATCTCAAATATTCTCCAAATATAATCTTACTATTAATCAGGTCATGCCAGCTATACAAGGTGGTGAAGCAGCCAAAGATTTGAAATCATTATCTGGTGGTGAAAGATCGTTCTCTACTGTATGTTTTATATTGGCTTTATGGGATGCCATGGAGTCGCCTTTCAGATGCTTGGACGAGTTTGATGTATTTATGGTATGTTTAATTTTATTTCTTGATGCTGGTAGTTTTATTTGAGCTTCAATACCATATGATAACTTTAGTGGTTTTAGTCAGGAACATCTACATCTGATGCTTTGCATCTCCCATATGAAGTTTTCCTATACCCAATAATTTTAGCCGGCTCCAACAGTCAATGGGGCTGACATGGAAAAGATGTCTAACTGTTCGAATGGGTCATTAAAACCATGGCCTTGTTTAATATCATCAGTTCAGAAATTAGTCATGTTGCTATGACATTTGTCACAAACCAAGAGGTTTAGGCCTTGTATTCTCGAAATGCTAGGACATCCTAGAAACAGTGTTAGAAGATAAGACTTTAGGACATCCTAGCGCTAAGATCATTTTGAGAATATGTGACCAGGAATAGTCTTCCTAAAATCAGAGCACCATTGCATTTTACAGTCAAGTTTCCCCTTTGCGGTAGAAGTACAAAAGCACTGACACAGTTTTGATGTTAATAAACCACGCCTCTTTGTGCTTCAAGAAGTGCAAAGGACCGTTGTCATGAAAAGTTTTCCCTTGTGATTATCTTTTGTTCTTAAGTACGCTTTTGATATATAGGATATGGTCAATAGAAGAATTAGTATGGATATGATGATGGTTGTAGCTAAAGAGCAAACTAGTCGTCAATTTATATTTTTGACTCCGCAAGACATGAGGTAAGGTTTTATTTTGGTTACTGAAGTTTTTAAAAATTCTTGTTATAGTTTTGTATTGTGAGGTTCTATAACACAGTCAGTTAGAGTGTTGGTTCTTTACATGATGCCAATTGCTTGGTTACGTCGAGCGAATAGAGGCTGTGGGTTCCGATCTTGATGGGTGGTAAAAGTCTGATGACCTTGAATAAGTCATCTTCACTCATAATTCCAGTTGACCCAGCTGTAAATGGGTACAGATAACCCGGGAAAGATCAATGCCAAGAAGTTTGGCCAAGGACCAGCTGGTAGAAAGGATCCTTAACTATGTTATCCTTGTAAAATATAGTTGTTTCTTTCTTTCTTTCTTTGAATGGTTAATTATATTGGAAAAAGTATCAAAGCCTGCTGAAAAAACTCCACCTAGTCCAATGCAAATAAATTTTGGCATGCATAACTGAGCTGTTCTTTTATGCCATTTTCTAACTGTAACTTTAAGAGAAATCAGAGGAACAGATCTGATTAAATAAGAAAAATGGACTAAATAGTGTACATCACCTTTGACATGTTTGGAATTAACGTTATGACTATTATAAATCTTATGGAAAATGCAGTGTTAAAATAATTTTCATTTCAGTCAATTGAAAATGGGACAAAATTTCCGTATTTTTCGAATGCCGAATCCAGACAGAGGTCAAACAACATTAGAACTTGGAGAAAGAACTGAAGATGAATAAATTCAAGGAAAAAAATTCATACTCTCTGAAACAGTTTGACAAGTTGTTAAATTGGATAAACTAAAAAGAAACTTATTTGGACCATTTTTAACTTAATTGAATGATGCCACCATAACTCTGGCTCTGAAATGTTTTTGTCTTAGTGTTCATTTTTGAGAACTATCTTGAAAAGTTATGGATTTTCACAATGTCATAGCTGTGGTATTTATGGCAAACCCTCCAAATAGCTGGTTATGCTAAAAAAAAAACTGCTGTTACTTTCATTGTGGTCATTGATTTAAGATATTATGTTAGAATTAAGAATATTAGTTGTTACTGATAACCACAATGGTATGTGTATTGTCGTTAACCTTCAATATTTAGATAGAATACTTGAAAGGATGAAGAGATATATTTATCAGTAAGGAAAATGGCATTAATTAAAATTTAACCAACATTATTGATCATTTTTGTTCCGTTTGATTAATTTGGAAATGAAGGAAACTTAAAAAAAAAAATGATTTTTTGTTGAAATTAAACATTAATTTTCTTGGTTATTGTAAAACCAATGGGCATGCCAGTTTCCCCCTAAGAATAATAATTTGTACCAGCTTGCTGTTGTCCCTCCATTCAATCTGCCCCTTATTTGTAAGTTCTTGAAGGCTGGCACCAACATTGTGTAAGATATTTTTGAAAAAATTGCAGAGACTAGCAATTTCTGTTTCCATCTATTCTTTGTTTATGTATATCCATGTGTATCCTTAGTTTTAGATGTGATTTATATGGTTTTATCTTTTTGTTAATGATTTTAAAGTTCTAGTGCTATACTGAGTGGTGGTGAAGGAATAAGAGGGATGTAGCTAGTAGCAGAGGTTACTTTATATATTTAAATAATCAAAAGACCAAATAGATCCGATTTCAAATCATTTGTAAGGGAACTTGAAAAGGAATTGTTGAATTATTAAGTTTATGCACTGATGTAGTTCAATTTTTGACATACAACGAATTTTTTGGAATGAAAAACTGGTGTTGATACACTTTAAAATAAATAATAATTACTGCAAAAAATAGACACAGTAGTATATGGTGTCAATTTGATATTGACTCTGGTCCATAATTGTAGACATCAGATCTTGCATCGAATTTTTTTATGAGTAATAGAAATACTATAACTTGCAAACATTATATTTTACAATTTTGTAATCAGTTACTATTTAATCATTAAACCATAATATTTCAACTGCTTTGATTTTTTATTGAGACACTCACACTAGTCTTAGTCCGTGAATTGTTCAGACAAGAGCTTTTCTTATTGTGTTGCTTATTAATCCAATGGTTCTCTGTAATGGGTATTATTCATACAAATGGGTGCACGTAAACTGGACTGAACAAGTCACCTGAATAACACCATGAGCCAGAAAACAGCAAAAAATGCTAAAAAAGATGATTTCTTAAGCTTTAATATCACAGTTTCCACACTATAACATCATTGACGGCAATCATATTTTCATTATGTGAAATTCTGAAACTTTTTTTCGGAGCCCAATTCATCTGGGACTGATTAATTTCTTCATTTTGTCCAAGACAATATTGATATTCTGTTTATATAGTCTATCATTACTAAGATCAACACACGTATGCCTTAATAATGTTCTTCGGACTTGTAATGGTGCCGTGTCGAGAGGTGTATATCGTAATAATAAAGGAATTATAGGTTTATTAAATGTCTCAGCTAGTGTTAAGTCCTTACTACAATTTTCACTTTGTAAATATTTAGGTGTTATACAAGATAACACTATGGATGATTCTTTCATATTGCGATGTATTTGTCCTTGTAGATTGGCACTACTTATATCAGTATGACTAATAGATTTACTGGTGCGACTACTTCCTCTACTGTGTCCTCGAGGAAGGTTCATATCTGTCCAACAAGTGAATCCGCTTCTTTCTAACACTTGTTTCATCTCTTCGACTCTCGCATGCATATCCCAATGAAAGCTTATGTAAACTTTTGGCTGGATTACAGATGGTGTATTGTAAATTGCTTTAATTCCGTCTAAAATGAAATAATTATCAATGCAAAATATCAAAATAACCATAAATTTATATCTAGCTTTGATGAGAAGTGCACAGGACGTAATCTTAAACGCCCACAATTGTAATGGCAGCCATGTCGTCAGGGAGGTTGACAAGAGAGTAACATTTTCATACTACAAGAAGGTTATTCAAAGCCCTTTTCAACCAGTTTCGTCTATATCAGTCAAGGATTTTGCCTGCTACAGTACTGATAGGAAACTGTCAAAAATCCTCGAGTTTTTCTAATCAAGTGTCACACAGTAGTGATGTAAAGCACAATTGATATGGTGAAAGCCTTTACTTACTTCCAGAACTGCTAAGATGTTCTAGTGGTTTTAATCCCTCTGCCATTTTGTTGAGGTATGATTGTTCTAACACCACACCTGGTACTCGCCTCAATGGTTTAATATGATGTTCTAAAACATCTAGACTTTCGGTGTAAGGTTTGGTTTCAAAATTAATAGCTGGACAGTCTCCTGAAAAAGCAAAATGGTAAAATGTATTCTTCTGGAATTCTGATATTGGACTTATTCAAAAATCGTTGATTAATTTTAAGACCGATGAAGCAAAGTTAATAGTAAATATACACGTAACTGCTGTAAATAGTTGATAAAAACGACAATTTCTTCAGATGTTGTATGGATTATAAATAAATTCGAAAACTCTTACTGATAATGACAGGCAGAACAAATACTTAAATAATAGTCTTTTCAAAAATAACAAATTTAAGGAAGTTTTCAGTTAAATTGATCTTGAATCCGGATATTGGCAATTAGATGCATGTCATTTCTTACCTAATACAGCCATAGCACTGGCTCGCATGTTACTCCAAGTATTATTAAACATAGCTGTGACTAGTTTTTTACCCAACCAATCGGCGAATAAGACTTCTTGGTACACAAAGGGTGAGTTCGTAGCTGCTTCTGTTAAAATAACAATTACATGAGAAGAAGTAGCTAGTTGGGGTCCATTTATTCTTAAAAACTCCTCCTTTGATTTCCCAAGTTTGTGACTGTCATGATGGATGACCTGAAAGAAGAAATAATAATACTATTGCATATCTGAGAATTAGTTTTTAACAACCTGGCCCTGTATTCTCGAAACGATCTTAGCGCTAGGATGTCCTAGGTTCTTATCTTCTAACATTGATTCTTAGGACGTCCTAGTGATAAGATCATTTCGAGAATACGGGGCCTGTAAATCTGAGAGCTAAACATTGGAATTCAAACTTCATGTAACGTTGACTTATATGGCGAATGATAGCGCGTTCACAATTTCAATGCCAATTTGTTTATGGTAGGGCCTTGTTCTTCAAGGGGTATCTGCTTTTTGAGAAAAGTTTTTATTATCAAAATCGTCTAAATTATACCTGAAAATATGTCTAAAGTATGCTACTTATATCTATATATCCTCTTGGATCTGAATTTATTTTAAAAGGGTTTATTAAAAGCGGTGAGTACTAATTAAGCAGTTTGACGTAGTTTTGGTGTTTAGCTTTATTATAATCGCTCGATATTAGGTCTACTAGATGAAACCTTAAAGCATACGTACGAGGCATATTTCTCTACAATTAAGCGATTATTTTATTTAAATCTATACAGTAATATTCTAACAGTTGACAAAAAGCTTAACAAACTTAAAACCCTTACGTAATGTTTTTAGATATTTTTGGCGTTTAAAAATTAACGGCTGGATTTTTTTAGTTAAAACTTTCAGATACGTTAAGGAAACATTTTCTTTATTTTGGTGTATAGTTTTCACAAATATTTTTAAGTTTTTCTACCTGAATAACAGGCGGAATATCCCTTTAAAAGCTGGTACTATCAGTGGGGCGTCAAATAAATATCTTATATAAGCTATGATATTAAACTAAATTGAACGATACACAGCTTGATTTAAAGGCGTTACTACTAACTGTTTGCTACGGAATGGGCTGGTGTAGATTTATATGCATTGGTCTAAAATTCTTCTATTCTTTTGGGAGGTGAAATAATACAGAAGTTTCTTGTTGAATCATTTGACAATATATATAATGGTAATTCAAATGTTATGTATCTTTTCTGAATCGCTGAAGACATTGTTAATGGTGAATTGAATCGGAAGTTGTAATAGTTATTAATAGTTAATTTGTTGAAAGCTTTCAAGCTACTTAACCGTTTGTCAGATTTGACTAACGTTCTAGTTAAAACATGTTCTATTAAGATACTTAGTATAATCTTGTCTAAATATTATTATATGCATTACATACTTTATTTTATTGTATTCTTAATAGGCTATAAACTTTTGACACCATTGGCAATTCGTTAGAATTTCTATTTAGAAAGGTCCGTGAAAATTAGTGTAACAGGACCTAGAAGGCTATATATTTACCATTTTATGACTGANAGTGCAAAGTTCAAGACTTAAGACGATTTATTTATTGAATTTTTGAATAATAGGTATTTTTTTCATACAAACGCTTGCC